AAGAAGAATAAAACGAATCAAAAAAAAAAAACTTTTCGGAGCTGCAAACAAAAAAAAAATTGCAAATTGAAAATAATATTTCAAAACTTCCAAAAATATTTGATTTTTTTTCAAAAAAAGAAATAAAAGGTAAGTATTTTTAGCGATTGTCGGTTAGGTATTAGTTTTATGTTTTATAATTTAGCTCTCGTAGTTACATTTAATACATTTTTAAAATGATTAATATTAATTTAGTTAAAATTACATTAATACAATAACTTCATTATACACTTTGTTGGTTTAAACAATTTTTCAAAGTGTATTAAAATTAACCACCAACCCTCCTAAAACCCTATTAGACATGAGTAAATTTATAAAAGAAAAACAATTCGTTACAATTTTTCCTTATGTTGATGGAGCTTTAAGAATGTTCCTTTGTAATTTGGCCTCCAACTATTCAACCGAAAGGTCTTTTTCTACACTCCGTAGAATAAAAAATTATTTAAGATCATCTATGTCTTCAGAAAGACTTAATAGTCTTGCAGTTCTTAACATAGAAGCTACTCTTACTAAAAGCTTAAATTACTCAGATGTGATAAAAACATTTGCAGCAAAACAAGCAAGAAAAAAAAACTGAAGTAATGATTTTATATATTATAAGGAATTTAATAGTATGTTATATATTTTATATTTATTTTATATTTCATTAGTATATAACCTAAATTCTGTTATTTTTTACCTATCAAGAACAAAAAACTGAAGTAATGATTTTATATATTATAATGTATTTAATAATATGTTATATATTTTATGTTTATTTTATATTTTATTAGTATATTACTTATATTAGTTATATTCTGTTATTTTTTACATTTTTAAATATATTATTAATATTTACTAGGCCACTGCATTTGCTTAGTTTTTTTTTTTTTAATTTTACTTAAATACTAAACACAGACACCACAAATACTTATAGTTAGTATTAGTAGTATTACTTACCAACTAGTTTTAAATTTAATTATTAGCAAAATGGGCAGGAGGGGGGGGCGCTAAAATCTTAAATACGGCCCTAATTATCGTTGATACCGTATTATTATGAACTATGTATATATGTTACGGGCAAAGTGGAAAATTCGGGCAATGTATACAATGTCCGAGGTATATTGGGCAATGTGAATTGTGAAGTATTTATACAAATAATCTGCATAATATTATTTTACCTAATCAATGATATTATATACTAATAATTATTATACTCGTTTATATGGTTATTTATATAAGAATATTACAATTTTTTTAAATTAATTAAATTTTAAATGTATTTAAAGGTAATGCAATAAAATATTATGTGCATAATGTTCAGTTATATGATATTATACATGAAGTTCATTTGTCAATTGGACATGGAGGTAGAAATAGAATGGAACACGAGATTAATAAAAAGTACAAAAATATAACTAGAGATGTAATAATGTTATACTTAAATAATTGCGAATCGTGTAAAAAGAAGGGAAGTACAGCTAAAAAAGGGTTGGTTGTAAAACCAATCATATCTTCTGAAATGAATTCTCGCTGTCAAATTGACTTGATCGACATGCAAGCACAATCAGATGTCGATTATAAATTCATATTAGTTTATCATTATCATCTAACAAAATATATTATGCAGATTATTTGTATAAATACTTCACAATTTACATTGTCCAATATACCTCGGACATTGTATACAATGCCCGGTCACTGTGTACAATGCCCGGGCATTGTATACATTGCCCGAATTTTCCACTTTGCCCGTAACATATATACTACTATCTAGTATATGGCCAGTGATATAAGTAATAGGAATAATATATTTAGTTAAAATAAAATGTGGGTAATTCCAAAATTGTTGTTATCGGACTATCGGAGTATCTGACGACCCGAGTACCCGACCGTTCGTAGACGCTAGAGGCTCGTGTCGCGTCTTCCACTCCGCCACTCACCACAACTGCCAATACTCAATGTCTCAATAGCTAACGAGTAACGATGACGAGTGTCTCGCACTTCCGTCTCCCGCAGTCCCTCGAGCGTATAATTTAGTTAATATATATTTTTTGTGGCATGCCTGTTCAAACACTCCAAACTTATTTAGTAACGTCTTCGTTCTACTATAATAATTGAATACCTTTACGTATGTACATTGCCACCAGCCAATACGGGTAAGTACCTATTAATAAAATGTAATATTTAACTATTATATTATTATACTTATTATCTATTATTATTATACTTATTATCTTATTACTAGTCTAGCATTAAAAAGACTTCAGCACATGCTCAGCTTACAACGTATTTAAATTAAACGTATTTACACAGAATAATGTTTTTTCCGTATTTTTCAATAATTTTCATTTATTACAAAAATTATGGAGAATAATATGACATATCAATTAAATATTGTCTCAAAATAATCTAAACATTATTCAAATTTACAAACTTTTTTATTTCTGTTTGAAAGTCGAATACAAAGTCAAATAAAACCGCTTAGTCAAACTCTCAAAAATATATTATATAATTTGTGTAAATGCCTAGGTGATTTCACTCTAAGATATTAGTCAAATATAATAATAATAATTTATTCAGTTGAATATAACGGGCCCAATAGTACAGAAAGTTTATAGGTATATTACTACATTAGAACAATATAACAGAAAAGATACAACATAAATATAATAAGTATCTCATTTGCAAAGTTTATAACAAGAAATTTAATAATAGTGTATTAGGTATATTATTATTTATTATATTTTTATACCTACCTAGCTACCTATTTTATATTATTTAATAATAACTGTTATAGAATTTAAATAATATATAATTATATATGTAAATATATTTTTTTATATAACCACTGTATAGGTTTTTTTTAATAATAATTAATTATCATATAGATAGGTCACATAATTAGGTATGTATAAAGATAAGTTTTAAATTATTATTTTATAGAAGAACAGGTTATCAATTTTTTCGGGATTTTTTTCTATTAGTATGTTATTATACCATATAGTATGTATGTTATTTATTCAATAAGATTGTAATAATTTATTGTTTCAGTAAATTTTTTGCATAGAAATGTTACTTGATTAAATTATGGCAGATAACAAATAAATATATTGATATATACCGTTTTTAATTTTTTTGACCAAGTTCCGGAAGGTGGCGACGCATTAAACCTATATATTCGGAAAGCCAGGAAAGTTTTCTATAAGAAGAAAATAAGTCTAGGAGCTACAAAGCTTTCGGGGACATAGTAATATGCAGGGCCGTGCCTAGGGGGGTGCAAGAGGTGCGCGTGCACCGGGCGCCAATGACCACCGGGGCGCCAAAAGCATTTTTAATATAATCTAAGTAATATTACTAAAATACTCAAAATTAATATATATTTTTTTTCTCGTCGAATACTACTATCTCCACATAATTAGCATTGCCATGATTGCTTATCGGTTAGGTTAAAAAATATAGTGTTTTTATTTTTGTTTATTTTTAACATTAGTATTTATTTTTTCCCGAAATGACGACGTCGCTGATCACCGTCGTCGAAAACAACTATATTAATATTATTATTGTTACTTGATAAAATTAATTTAATAACATAGACTGCGACATTATCAACGACTGGAACGGGTTGTATCATTTTATTTTGAACCCATGATATCTAGTGTTCAGACGTTTAATGTTTACGTCATAGTGCATATTTTTCATTTGAAATAATTACTCGTTAAAGCCTTAAAGGTAAGTTATTTTTCGTTTAATTGAACAAATAAAAATTTGTTAGTAAATGACACCTGTTTAGTATTATACCCAATAGGTGTCTATGATATTGAATTATTTGATATAAATTTACATATGACTAAAACAAATTTTGCTTTTTAACTGTTATAATTTTTACAATGATATTACAATGAAATCACCCAAAACAACAAATGTTATGAGATACTCATATACAGTTATAATTGTATAACATATTTATTCAGATTATAAATAATAATTATCTTAAAAAAGTAATAGAAATTATCAGAGAAATAAAAATATTTTATTAAAAGCAAAATTTAAAATGTATTAATTTTTATACATACACCCCCCCCCTACTAACCTAGATACTAAGTTTGATGGATCTATAAAAAATGGTGTCACGTAAATACATCGCGGTAAATTTGGGCGCGGTAAACTAGGCGCGGCAAGTTGGGCGCCGGTGTAATATCGTCATACGTAATTTCGGTGAGTGACGATACATGCCTTATGTACAATATTTTATACCTTATTATAAATACCTAGTTTAAAAACAATATGCATAACTTATTGGCAAGTATAAAATATAATTTAAGTCAAATAAGTCAAAATAGTTTTAAATTTTAAAAATATAAATTAAATTGTTCCACAGATATCTAATAATAATAAAACAAAAATGTATACAAATAAAGTTCTAAATTATAATTGCAACTGGATATCATTAAATTGACATGATCTAATACAAAACGACCATATGACGCGCGATAATATTACACCGCGACCAATTTACTGCGCCTAAATTCCCGCGCCCAACTTACTGCGACCAAATCACATGGAACCATAAAAATATTGAACAATTAATTTATTTTAGACTAAAATGGGCCCCCCCAAAAAATCTGGTGCCATGAATAGAAAAATTCAAAAACAAAAATTGGAGGATAATGATAAGTTGTCTAAGCAAATGAAATTATTTTTGTCCAAATCATTGGAAGATAATACTAGTAGATCGGAATTATCCAATGATTTACCACTTTTTAATTCTCTACACCCTGAAGACTCAGGATCAGGAAAACCATGTAGATTTTTCCATTAATGTAGAAGATGATTTGCCTAAACAGACATCAATAAATCAAGACAATGATTCGGTCGTTTCGGATTTCATAAATTCTATACCCTCCACTTCCTCGGATAATAATTTGGAAAATATTGTACAAAAACTATTACATTTCAATGATCAGTCTTCTTAGCCTGAAATGAATGATAAAATTAGAACACTTCTAATAGAACACGGACCAGAACAAGGTAAAAATTCAGATTTTTCCTATTCGGAAAATTTTCAGCAAAGAAAATTTTCAGCAGATTGGTTTTTTAAAACACTCCCAAATGGAGATAAAATTGAACGAAGTTGGTTAATGTATTGTGATGTTACAAAATCCATTCATTGTTTTCCCTGTATGCTATTTCCTTCACAAAAAATGAGTAAGGCATTTATTACAGATCCTAAAACCGGATTTAATGATTGGAGAAAACTTAGTCCGAGAATTCCTGACCACGAAAACACATTTGATCATAAATCTAATGTCTTTACATGGAAAAGTTTTGAAAAACGTTTAAGAGAAGGGAAAACAATCGATAAAGAATTACAAAAAGAAAGTTTAAATGAAAAAGAAAAAGAAAGGTGGAAACAAATTTTAAAAATTATCCTCGATTGTGTTCGTTTTTGTTGTGTTAATAATTTGGCTCTTAGAGGTTCCAGTAATGATATTACTAAGTCTAATTGTTGCATTTTTTTAAACTTGATTGAACTAATAAGTAGTTACAACCCTATTATTGCGCAACATTTATCAAATTCCAATAGAAGAACTACTTATTTATCAAACAAAGTTCAAAATGAGTTCATTTGCTTACTTGGTAATTCTGTCAGAGGAAAAATAATTTCTAATATCAAAGAAGCTAAATATTATTCTATAATTTTTGATTCAACGCCCGACATTTCACATAAAGAACAAATGACTCAAATTGTTCGTTATGTAGCTGAATCCAATGATAAATATATAATTGAGGAAAGTTTTATCGATTTTATAACTACAACTAAAAAAACAGGGCAAGGGTTAGCTGAAGAAATTTTAAAAAAACTTTCCGAAGATGGATTAGAATTTAAAAATTGCCGTGGTCAAGGTTACGACAATGGTGCCAACATGTCTGGAAAAATTAAAGGTGTCCTATCTCGATTACAGGAAATAAATAAATATGCACAATATGTCCTTGTACCGCGCATAGTCTAAATTTGGTTGGAGCCCATGCAGCTCGAGTTTCAGTCAGAATGGTAACTTTTTTCGGGACAGTACAAAGTATATTTAATTTTTTTTCTAGTTCGACTGCTCGTTGGAACATTGTATCTCAGTTTTTAAAATGTACATTGAAATCTCATAGTGAAACACGTTGGGAATCGAAGTATAATGTTGTACATTCATTACTTACTCAATTGAAATATGTTATACAAGCATTACAACACATATCTGAAAACTCAGAATTTGGGGATGGAGTCTCCAGTGCTCAAAGTCTACTTGGTTTGATTAACGTCGAGTTTGTTTATCTTTTGGTTATGTGGGACTCAATTTTAAATCAAGTATATAGAGTTAATATTACCTTGCAAAAATCAAATATTTCTATTTCTAATGCATCAAAAATTGTGATGGGCTTAAAAAATGCTTTGGAAGAAATGCGAAATGAGGGATCAGAAAATATTATTCTTTTAGCAAATAATGTATGTAATGAAGCTGAAATTTCAACAATATTTAAATCTAAAAGGCCAAAAAAAATTAAGAAAATGAGTGGTGAAGAAGCATCTGATTCAACATTTACTATACAACAGGAACTTAAATTGGAGTTCAACCAAGTTATGGATACTTTAATTTTACAAATATCATGGCGTTTTGAAGCATTGTCGAACATTGCTAACGATTTTGAATTTCTTTCTGGGTTCCATCTTAATACGTTGTCAATTGAAGATCTTAAAAAGCACGCTGCTGATCTAGTTTTAAAATATAGTTCAGATCTGAATAGTGAATTGCTAAATGAAATTGAATGTTTTAAGTATCAAGGAGAAGCAATTATACCTAATTTAAAAATGGCAACTTATTTAGACATATTATTAAATGGCATAAAAACATATGAACTAAGCTCAGTGTATCCAAATTTAGTTATCGCTTACAGACTTTTACTTACTTTTCCTGTAACAGTTGCATCTGGGGAAAGATCATTCAGTAAACTCAAGCTAATTAAAACATATCTCCGTTCAACCATGACTCAAGAAAGATTATCGATTCTTGCTATACTGTCAATAGAAAATAAAATGACGCAAACTATCAATTTTGATGATGTTATTGATAACTTCGCATCGATCAAATCTCGAAAAATAAGTTTATGAAAATCAAGTCAAGTACTTATTATATTTTAAAAACTTAATTATTATTGTATTTTATTAAGACTATTTACTCAAAATCCATTCAAAAGTTTAGTAATATTATAATAAGAATTAAGTTAATATACATTTTTAATACTTGTAACCTAAATACAAATAATTAACTCAATGATGCGATTTTTAGTTTGATTAACATATTAACTTAAAATTGTTTACATCATACATTATCACCTATTTTAATAACATGTTTATACTATTATATTATATATACAGATTTGGTGAATTTCTGAGTTAAAATAAAATATATAATAATTATTAATACTATAGCATTTGTCAATATTATTCACAAAATATATTCAAAAAAGGCTCTGTCCCTGTTTATATATTATCATCTTTAGAAGTGTTTGTACTATGTACATGTCGACAAAAAAGTTTAATGTGAAAAATTAGGTAAATCTGACGATTCTATCTTCCTTAATGTTTTTACAAGTATAAGAATATTTAGTTGAGGGGGTGGGAGCGCTAGAAATGATTCTTGGCACCGGGCGCTGATTATGCTAGGCACGGCACTGGTAATATGTGACCGAACAGCCCAGGGGACTGTTTCTTCATACTCCCGGGTGCAAGTAACCATACGCCGTTTTTAATGTTTTTGACCAAGTTTCGGAAAATAGCGACGCATTAAACCTATATATTCGGAAAGCCAGGAAAATTCTCTATAAGATGAAAATAAGTCTAGGAGCTACAAAGCTTTTGGTGACATAGTAATATGTGACCGAACAGCCCAGGGTACCATGTTTTCGTACTAACGGGTGCAATTACCCATGCGCCGTTTTTAATTTTTTTACTTATCTTTAATAATTATTATTATTATAAGCCACCATAAATTGGTGGCTTCCAAAAATTGATTAATTGCGAATTAAAATAGGTGTAAGTACCTGGTAAAATTCCTTAGGTAAAATTCCTGGTTTTTTTGTATAATATGTTTTAATATATCTGTATAATTTATCTTAATAATTAAAATTTGATAAATATATTATATTAAAAAACATGATAAAAATTTTTTTAAAAAAATGAACTAAGACATTTCGAACAGTCTATGCACAAAGTCTGTTATAATATTTATTACTTGTATATCATGCAGCCCTCTAGCAGTACGGGTACAGGATTGTCAAGCTCTAAAAAATTAAGTTGGGAGATAGTAAACTCGGCCCGAGGAAAAAACATTTTCAAAAGGTCGATGGTAAACTCGGCCCGTGTTTTTTTCAGGTCAATATTATTTAGATGTAAACTCGGCCCGGGTTTTTTCAGGTAAAAATTATTTAGATGTAAAAGTCATGATTTTTCTTATAATATTTTTGAGAAACATTTAGCATTACCCAGAGGACACTACGAGGAGGCGGTTCTCATTATCCTCCAAAAATTATTTTCATTTTCATATTATTATTCATAGTATGAAATTCGTTATTTAAATGAAAAATGTAATTAAAATGTTATGATATTGATAATAAAATAATAATAAATGTATTTATATAAAATATGTATAAGTGTATAAAAATGTGTAAAAATATAATAAAAAATAAATAAGTAAATTTGTAGTGTAAATAATGAGTGAAAAATTTTAGTATAATAATATATAAATCTAGTTTTTTTTAAGTAAAATGCCATGTATTTTACATATTCACTCACTGATATATCTTTTTTTTTTATTTTTTAAGTATTCTTTCTAAGGGTTATTTTTTTTTATTAGTTTTTATATTTTGGAATTTAAATGGTGCATCTAGGCTGTTGATTTTAATGTACGTTTCTGTTTGTACTTCTTTTAATTTTTAAATGACGGAATATATATTGGGGTGAGTGGAATTAAAACTTGAATTAAAATGCGCATGAAATGATTCACATGCATTTGTTGTTAAATACGTTTCAACTGATGCACTGGCTCACATTTCAGGTGGAAACATAGAATCTTCTCCTTTGTATGTTTTCGGGCCGAGTTTACAATCTACCTATTTTTATTACCTAAAATTCTCGGGCCGAGTTTACAACAAAAAAGGTAACTTCGGGCCCAATTTACTTTTACCAATTAAGTCGTGTTCGGTGTTAATCAGTGCAGTGGCGTAGGCGTAGCCCCCCTGAAATATTAAGACAATTTAAAATGTGTATTATTATTAAATCAATATAGGCCTACCACCCACAGACCACAGATAGGTGCTTGAGATAGCGATTAGCGATAGCATAAAGATGGACGACGGTACTAAAAAGTTATTATAGGTATTATATTTGTATTGAAATCGGATGTATTTTGATTTTTGATGTCTAAATTAGTAAACTCTTAAATACTGTCAAGTGCGTATAGTCGAAGTCAGTGGAAATAAGGAAAACAAGAAGTTCTAATTCTCCTACTAACACTATTGTGGAGTCATTGATTAAATAATAAATATCCACTTATATTTAAAAAAATTATAATATATATAGTAAGCTATTAAAATTTAATAGTGTCATCCTCTGTAATTACCTTTTTAGAAATCAAATTAATACTGCAGACTGCAAGCAGGTACCTATTAATTTTAATAACTATAACAGTATAACAATTAGTAATACATTTATTATTGTATTGGTAACATAATTTATTTATTTAGAACGGATTCTATTTGACTAATAATAACAATAATAGTAATATATCGTCGGGACTCGGGACCATGCCTTGCTAGAAAGAATAATTTAATTTAAAAATATAATTAATAATATATATATGATATTATAATATACAATAAGCAATGAATAACGGCCGGAAATCGGGGGATATAATTCAAAAAATAGCTAGATAAGCCACAAAATAGTCAATGCGTATGGGGAATTTGAGAAAATGAAGTGCGATAGTTGGCCGCTGGGGAGAATTGACTGCGGCAAGGCGGTATTTATAAACATTATATTATGCCGCCACCGCGTGGCCGTTGAGATTGCTCCTTGCCACTCTTGGCGGGGACAATTCAATCTGTATTTTGATTTTTGGTCTCTCACCGGACGGTTGTCTTCACAAATCGTAAGTACAATATTGTTGACTACCTCTAGTATAATGTATATTTAATATTTAACTTATCTTTATTCACCGATTAAATGTTAAATAAATGTAATGATTGTACCTATTCAATCTTTTAATATTTAAAAGAATACAATTCGACGAAATACATTTTCTAAAAATTAAAACATTTTTTTTTTAGCATTCAATAACTTTCTTTTGTCTCTTCGATATCTCTTCCATTTATGGGACATGCTGTGTTTTAAATTTGATACTAGAGTGAATTGACCTATTATAAGACTTTTAGGTAATACATTTATAACATAATCTGTGTTTAAGGGTTGCCGATTTTTCAAAATTTTAATTGTCAAGCAAGATATGGGTATGTGAAATATCAAAAATTAAAAATGCTCATAACTCGCATGAAAAATAAAATATCAAATAAAAGCCAACGCTTAAGCACAGGTAATGTCAAAAAATAATGTTGATATTTCATATTGGTATCATCCTTTTAAGGTAATTATACACTGCAAAGTAACAACATTTATTTTTTCAATGGCAACTTAGTCCATTAGCTGTTGGTTTTTTTTGTTTATTTGTAGGTTGTTAGTAGGAGGGGAACAGTGTCGGCCTGGGCTATGAAAGACCTATGCAGGGTTTTTTTTAGGGCCTCAATTTTTTTATGAAAATTTATCTAAGATTGGGTTGAAATTGTGAAAGTCATGTTTTGTGATATCTTACATGCATATAAAATATATACATTCTACATGAATATTTTTGTAGCATATTAATTAATGTATTATTGTTAAATACAAACTATAATTTGACTTCATACATACACAACATATTATAGAAAATATATATTTAAAATTAAACTATTATTTTATTATTATAACAAATGTGTACATAATATTTCTTTTAACTAAAAAATAGATGAATTTTATACAAGTTTGAATTACATACTCTTTATTAGGTATTAAAATTGACTTATTCTTTTTTAATAAAATTACCTTAAATTCACTGATACACTATTTAAATAATTATATTCTACTAATTAACAGACTTGGTTAATTTTAAAACAACAACAAATAAATTATTATATTATTATTCTAATAGTATGATTTTTTTTTATTCATATCTTAAGTAATCTTTTTGATGCATCAGATGAACCAGCAATGCAATTAATAATATGTTCTTTATCAATATCTATATCTATATCTCGACATTCATTAGCATTAATGGAGTTAGATGTTCTTGACTTATAGTAGATCTTAATTTTGATTTAACTAACTTAAGTTTAGAAAAAACTCTTTCACACGTTACCTGAGTTGATGGAAGAAGTAGTACATATTTATACAAAACAAATAAATTATTAAAAGTATTGGAATTAAATGCAAGTTCTCTAATTGTGATATAAGCACATGCAATGCATCTATTACATTTGTTACAGTCAATTGGTAAAACGTTTTCTTCATCAACATCATTATATATATTTATATGTATCTATACATCGTATTATCGTTATATTGTATGAGCGTTAACATATTATGAGAGACATGTAGACTTGTAGTATCCAAAAATAGAACAAAAATAATTTACGAAAAATAATAAATACTCGTATTTTTTAAACCATTATGATGCGATAAGAGAATTTAATGTTGCATGACAACAAAACACCTAGAGAATAATTGTATTTAAAAACAAAATTATTCCAATAAACCGAAAGTATTCAAATATTCAATGTTAATAAGTTTTTATCCTTTAAACCCTTTTTGCTTATTAATTGTATATATTTGTGCGAGACTCAATTACCATAATTTAATCGCACATGTCTGTAATGACCTAAAGAGCCTTCAACAATACTTAGCACCCTGGGCTATTAAGTCTCCGTCCATCATTATTTGAGGTGCCTATGCTAGAATAAAAAAAAAAAAGGTGAGGGCCTCGGCAGCGTTCGCTGCCTCGCTGCCCTGGCCAGGCCGACACT